ATAGCCAAAGCTTTAAAAGAATTAACTACAATTATTTCAAACTTCATACCCCAAACAAAGGGGAGTCCCTGACTGAACCTGTAGTGAAAGAACCCTGCTGATTTGCTGTATGTCCTCTATGGTTAAGCTCTTTTACGTATTTTTAACTGGGCTGTCAGCCTCACTGAATGAGAAAAAGATCAAAACCACCTCACTGTACGAAAACAGGCTAAATACGAGATCTTATATTTTTGAAGGAGCTACACTATTGTATCATTTCAGTAATTTTCTACTGCTAACAAGAATAAAAAAGGTCCAAACAATGTATTCATATAATTCTTTTCACCAGATAGTGAGAAGGTAATACATGGGAATGTATTAATGATTTTTCCATCAAAGTAGGCTTTGCAATATCCATAAGAGCACAACTGAAGACTTTAGACTTTGCAACAAAATGCATTTTTACCAGTAGTAGCTTTCAAAAGATGTATAGGTTTCATTTAAGCTTTTCTGCCTAAAATCTACATTCAAACTGAAAATACACTGTAATTGAACACCATTGTTGGCTCTTCAATATATATATTTATCTTGTTATTTACCAATAATCTGAAATAGCTCCTTCTCATGCTCTGGATTTGTAGGATAACTTGCCAGAAAAAAAAAAAAGCTTCAGTTACAGATGTTCCATATTCCAAAAAGAATAATTTAATCATTTGTAATGTGCACATCATCAGAAGAGCAAAGTTTTAAAAGGATAAGCATACAAAACAAGGAAAGGACATTATAAGATTATATGGAAAAACAAAGAAATGAACAGCAGTGAGAAAATGAAATTAAAGAAAAAAAATAAATGATATAGAGAATAGATGAAGAACTAGGTACACACAGAAGGAGAAGTGCATGCCAACACAACAGGTGACAACGTCACTGAATGGACAAATGGAAAAGCTTCAAACCCCAGGAAATTGTTCCTAATTTGGAAAGATGGACACCCAGCTAGCAAAGCCTGCTGATACATTCCCTGGGGAATAGTTTACACACATACTGCCACGGTACACTCTGCTCCCTGCTTCCTAACATCCTGCAATTCTTATTCATTTCGTATGACAGTCCTACATTTGAATATAATTGAGTTCACTGGGTTTACTGTATTCACTACTGCCTAGAGAAGTAAAACCGTGAACCAGAGAACTGACCTAAATCACTTCCACCCCAGCATGTACCACTAGCTGAGCAATCTTTCAGAGCAGCATTCAAAAAAAAAGTGTTATTCTCTATCTTTTAAATACTGAACAAAATCATCAAGATTCAGAAAATAAAGCCAGTCAATTACCAGTTAACAGTTAATACTATTATTCCTATAATTCTTCAATTAATAAAAACCCTACAGTCCTACTCTGCTGACTCATAAAAATTCTCACAATTTGCTTTCACAAATGATAGCAATGAAAAAAAAACCACATAAACCAAACAAAAACCCAACAAAAACCCCCAAACCCACAAAAGATGAAACAATATGTAAGACTGCACATGCCTGTAGAAAAAGTGTACTGCACATGAAACCCAGCAGCCCCTAGTGCTACAAGTACGTGGAATTTTTCAGGCGCTACTGCTTTGGAAGCATTAAAACTAGGAAAAATAGGGAATTTCAATTAAGATAGTAGCCCTTAACATCCTAGCAGTAAAAAATATGGAAATATAGCAGATCTGTATTTGTTCAGACATCACTCAAAAAGCTATTATTGATCCATTGTGTAAACTTTACGGGATGAATTTCTGTCTCTAAGAAATCCTAGGGAAAAATCCCATTCAATTCCGTAGGATTCACTAACGTTTATAATTTACGCGTTGCAGTTAAGAGGTAACAACTACCTCCCCCTCTCAAAGGATAAAAAAAGTATTTTTTATTATTTTATTTTTTTAACATTTCTTCTTACGCAATTTTTAAGGATTACCTCAATTTTGTATACATTATGTATGACCTGTGTAGCAATCTATTTAGAGTTCTTTGTACAGAACAATTAGTGCCAAGAAATGCTGCACAATCATGTTATTTGAACCAATATTGTTCACTTTGGTCTTATTTTTAAGTGAATTCCTCAGTTTATGGAAACTAATACTGAAACCTTACTAGCTGTTTCTGCTCATAACGTTAAGTTTTCCCCTTTCTCTCAATGTCAGCCTTAACATTGATCTAAATGTACCTGCTGTTTAAAAGAACCATTTAATTTCACTGCCTCAGAGACAATTTTGGTTGAAAATTTTAATTTTAAAATTTAAAATTTTAAAAAATTTTGTTTGAAATTTTAAAAAGTGTGTATCTCAAACAAGGAAGACCACAAAATGCCATCTCTTCTGCAACACATGACATTTAGCTACAGGTGAAGGCACGACAAAGTGTAGAACAAACTGCTACCAAAATCCCAGCTCTAACCAGCCAAAAGTTGGTCATTTGATTTGCTGTGAGCAGAAGGCAGATTCAGGCTGCCCTCAAGGGAAAACTGGAGGATGATGTGCATTGTTTTACATTTATTAGGTTTATAATTCGATGTAGGAAACAAGGTACTTGTATTCATGTTCTCCTTTGCTTCTCTCAAGCGATTTGATTTTATAATTGAACTTGTTTGTTTATTGGTTTCCCATTCTTTTTAAAGCTGTCTCCCCAAATACAGACAGCTTCATTCTGACCTTAACTCTGTTACTAGGCTAGCTATAATAAATAGTATTTCGGTCCCAACAATAAAATCATATTAAATGACTAATTTCTAAGCAACAGAAATGGGAAAAATCTGAAAAAAAAAGTTTCTCAAACATGAAAACCAGATTTAATCCTACCAACATAAAATCAGGATTGATATACATCTAGCTCTCAGGTTTAGTCAATTCAACTCAAGTTCTGAATGCCGTTGCCTTGAAACAAATTGTTTGTGTTCCATTAAAATCTGTTATATTTGCTAATAAGCAAACATTTTCTAGGGACTGCTTAGAGCAATAATTCTTCACAACCTTAAAATTAAAACACAGAAATCACTCATGAAATGTTATCTGGCTGTTGAAAAACTACAGCGAGTGGTGATAAGAAAGCGTTGTAGTACTTACCGAAAGCTCATAAAAACCTGGTCAGTACACAAGCACCAAAGGGAGGTGGAACTAATCATAAAAGTTCATTTCTAATAACAAAAAGGCTCTAATCAAACTGTAAAGAAAAATAACTTATGAGTATTTGACACCAAGGATATTTTATGCAGAGGTTATGCTGCTTCTGCATGAGACCAAGAAGAACTTGTACATAAATTTCTCCTGTTTACAATCCTCTAATTGGAGGCTTATTACTTACTGTGTTTTTGCAGGTTCTTTTTTGCTCCAAAACTTGCTTGACAACAGAATATAGAAATAATTTTAATTTATTTTTATGACCTCTCGCTTTGTCCAAAAGAGATTAAAATTCAAAACACCTGTTGTATTATGGCTTTATTATTGCTTCTTTTTTTTTTTTTTCTATGTTAATAACTCCTTTTTTAGAGGGTTTTTCTAATTTTATCAAGAAAGTTAAGAAAACACCAATGTTGCTTTTCCTAGTGCAAGAGGAATTTACCAGCAGCAGGCAAGCTCATTATATTTCTGCTCAAAAAGCTGTTTGTCTTACACTTGGAATTGTTTTCTAAATGGAACTTCACCAAGAGAAAAAAATAGCGTCCAGTAACAGATCAACAAAGTGTTTCTGAGATGTTTTCACATTCTTAAGCATTTTAGCAATGGATAATGGACATTTTTGGCAAGTGGAAATACTTGGCTTTATAACTTTATTTATTTATTTATTAAATACAAGGAAGCTATCTTTATGCCTTGGTACTTACAATCATTTCCTTTACTGTACTCAGAAGTTTTTCTGGATTTAAGTATGGTTTAGACTAAGAACTTGCGCAAAGAAAACTTTGCTTTTTACTATAAAAACTGTATTTTTGTCTTATAAAGTTTTTAATTGAAAAATCTATTAGCAGATGACATATTGTAAAAAACTGCAGTTGCCTACTTTTCTTTGAGGACAATAAAATTACTATGGAAAGTCTTTTGTGAATCTACCAGCAACTAAAATTTCTACCTACACAGTTTGATGTTGTTTCTATTTGCATAAAGACAGTCCTCTGGCCTGCAAAACCTGTTAGGAAGGGAAAGAAAAAAAAAACAAAAACCCAGACTCAAATCTACCATACTTACTATCGATAATTTTGTTGACACCATTCAGGAATTCCATAGACTCAAAATAAAATCACAGTCCTTTTTCTCCTTTCAGAATATAGCCTCTTAATCCAAATAATACCAGAGAAGTTAAAATTTAGTCCATTCATCTGGCAAATGTTTCCCTCTGTTTCATAGACATGCATATCACAGAGAAAAAATGTTCAATTTAAGGTTTCTTACGTGATTAGAGTGTAAAAAGTCATCATAGAAATATTATTCTCACACTTAATAATATCCTTATTGTAATGTATTACATTTCCATTAAACAAAGATTTAGAAAAATCACTTGTGTTATAAGCAGCCAGTAAATACAGTTAATTGTCTAGGAGGATTATAAAATAGAAATACTTGTGCTATGGACAATTATGTTCCAACAGTTTCATCACTAGTTGGAGGTAAAATATCAAGAAAGCTAGGAGGATGATGTGAGGGAAAATATGTGGCAGCTTATCAGAAATGCTGATTCAAAAATTCTACACATACTGTAAATAAAAGCCCGTCTAAAATTATGTAGTACTACAGGCATCATTTCCTCTAAGTATGTCTACAACCTGTAGAATACTTCCTTTTTTAATATTCTAGTTAAAAGTTATATCCTATGGGAAGGACAAAAAAATACACAGTAGAGTATATGATGACTTTTTACACAACAATAATTAATCATAACATTTCATTAATAGGTTATCAAGTGCTTGCAAGCTGTCCACAATCTTTTTCATCTAGTTTGCATATTTTAAAATGGTGGAATAACATTTTAAGAAGTTTGAATAGGCACTTACTGGAATTACAGTTAATCCTGATACAGTCTAGATGGGGAAGAATAGATGAAAAATGAAAATTTATCCTTCAAGGTAATAGCTGCAGACATCCAATAAAATCACAGTCCACCCTTCCGGGGACAGACACATGCAAATATGGCCACTCCATATCATCAGTCTTTACATACTGTTATAACCCAGATATACTGCGATAAATCTTTATAAATAGAAACGACAAATAGGGTAAAAATGGCCAATTTCAAACAAAGCTACATGGTGACAAATCTAAGCGGAAAATCAGGATTCATTGTCAAAGATGCTTAACTGAGGCAGGCTGCAGCTTTCTCCCCATCTGTGAAAGAACAGGTAATTTCTCTCAAAGCAATTAGAAAGTGCTCCGTCACAATGGGTCTCAGAGCAAGCCAGGCCACAATCAGACATCTTGGACTGCTTGTGTATAGTATACCTCAAAGGCTGCTCTTCAAAAGCTAAGTGGTCAAATGCAAAGCTCGTTTCCTGGCCCTGTGAGGAAGGTTCTGTGGGTTTACACAGTTTGTCAACGTAGAGACTTAAGAAATGAATGGTGGCTACATCTAAAGCTATGCAGAAAATAACGACAAATCTAAAAACAATGATAATTAAAAGAATCCTGTCTGTTTTCAGATTCCAGATTGTCTCCTTGCCTGACTTAAGGAAGAAAAAATTAAAAAATAAAAATAAAAGAGGGGTGCTGGAGGAAGAAACAATATTGCTAGGGCTTGGATTTTTCAATTTCCTTGAACTACAGAAGTTGGTAAAAGCTGACAAGAGGGTGGCGCTTTGTATTAAAAAAATAAAATAAAAATTACCTAAGCTATATCAGGGTCCTCTGCTGAGCATTTATTATTGTTAAATAAATAAATAAACAAATAATAAAAAAAAAAAATAAGTAAATAAATATCTATGCCACACTACTCAGATCATACAGCTACTCCTAGTTTATGCCTTTGAGGAACATATATACCGTCCGACCTAGATTTTGTTTCCATATAGCTGAGTTTGCCATGTGTCGTCAACCGCATCAGAAAAGTGGTTGCAAACAGCCAAGGACCAGCACGGGCACATCCAGCCCCTTTCACAGAAAGTGGGGA